ATTCAGTTACTTAGTAACCACATACCCTGCTTTGTGCCAGGCCCTACGCTTGGAAGTGGGCTTATGGAGCTAAATTAATTCATTAATTATTCATTTAGGTGTTCCAGAGAATTTGCAAGATGCTAGGTGAAGAGATAAATGATAAATAAAACATAGTTTCCATTTTTGAGTTGCTTAGGGAGAGTAAGAGGGGGTCAATTAAATAGTAATTATAGTATCATGGGATAAGTATTGTCATAGATGTATAACCTGAGAACCAAGGGAACAAATAACATAGGGCAATTAACTCATCTGGGAAAGGTCTGGAAAACATCACAGAGGCAGTGCCTTTTTCTTTAATAGACAAAGAGTAGAGGCATGGTAGCTCACACCTGTAATCCTAGCACTTTGGGAGACTGAAATGGGAGGATTGCTTGAAGCCAGGAGTTCAAGACAAAGAGTGGGAGAAAGCATTTTAGATGGAGCACTTTGTACAAAGGCTTGGGGTATGTAAGAGCATGATTTGGTCAAAGAGCCTGAAGTGGCTTGATATGTGCAGAGCAGGCAACTTTTTCTGTAAAGGGCTAGATAGTAAATATTTTAGGCTTTGTTAGCCAGTCTGTTACAACTACTTAAACTCTTTGTAACGTGTAACTCTTTGTAAACTCTTTGTAATGTCTTGCCTTTGTAGCATGAAAGCAGCCATGTATAATAAATACATCAATGAATGAGCCTGGCTGTGTTTCAATAAAACTTTATTTTCAGAAATAAGCAGCAAGCTGAATTTTGCATATGGCCATAGTTTTCTGACCCATGGTCTGATGTGTAAGGTGTCTGGTAGGGAGGGAGAGTGGTTAGGAAGGTCCTTGGGAGTTAGACTGCAGGATACGTTGTAAAAAGCCTTGGATGCCATGCCAAGAGGCTAGGGCTTTGTCCTGTGGGTAATTGGAGGCCATGAGATTTTAAGTCAGTGTGTTGATATAGTTACATTTGTACTTTACAAAGGACATTCTTGTGTTTAACATGGTAGATGGACTAGCAGCAGGAGAGTCTAGTTGTACAAGGGTGAGTGAGAAATGACTGTCCTATCCCTGCCCTTGAGCAATGGTTTCTGATCTCAGTGGAGATAGTTACTTCACCCCTGAAACATCCATGTGCCAGAACTCTGTATAAATGACATTTAGAGCTATTGTAGCTAAAGTGTGGGTTCTTGCAAAGTGTTCAGGAGGTGAATAAGAGTTGAGAAGCTTCTCAGATCTGGAGCATGTGACTTGTGGGTTATAAATATTGAGGTGGGGTAGGGGAAGTGGGAATGGAGGTAGAACGATTTGGTTTGGGAAACATGGAAGGTAAATAATAGGAACAAAGTTGGAAAGGGGAAGGAGGAACAATTGGATCTATAGAAGAATCCAGGAGAGCTGTCTAGATCACTGTACCCAAAGACTTGCTGCTCCTCTTCTGGCTTTATGTTAGTAAATTCTATTTCCTGATGGAGTGAGCTGGCTGGACCTATTTTATGGGAATTCTACAGAGATGTCTCCCCTCTTCTCTGTTCCCACCCACACTGCTTCTCTATTGCTTAATACTTGGGATGGGTTTGCATGCTTTGTGCCACCTCCTGGGAGATCACTTTTCTGAGCTCATAGAGCTAAATATACCTAGTGACAGCTGGTGCCTTGGCTCTTTGGAGAGTTATTGAACTACAGTTATAACCAAAGCTGCATTCCCCATGGTAAGGCAAGACTTTTAGGGAGGCTCCTTAGACCTTCCTGAGAGAGGAGCTGCTTGTTCTAAGTCTGAAATAGTAAATCCCTATTGTGGGAGCCAAAAGCTGCCTGTTTTTGTTTTGTTTTTGCTTGTGTTGCTTTTAAACTTTGTTAAATCAGACTTTAGCCAATAGGTGGATGTGGGACAGTGTTCAGAGCAAGATGTGGTTGATGCCTACCTCAGGTATAATGGCTATCAGAGTTCTAGCTCAGTACAGTATTCTTGTATGCTATGCTTGTGGCTGGGTAACTGGGAACTTCTATCAGGGGGTCTATAGTTTGGTAGGGGAGGTAGACATATAACAAGACCAGTGAAGGTATGAACAGGCACTGTGGGAGCACAGAAGACGCCACCTTTAATCAAGTATCTTTTTCTCTTACTTTCCTGTCCTTATCTCTCTCTCCTTCCAATAATAATCACAACTAACATTTGAGTTGTGCTTTAAAAACTTACAGAGTGCTTTAGTGTACACCAGGAATCACAGACTGTGCCTCTGAGGAGCCAGAGGGCATCATAACTGAGTAATGTGGGCTGTACAAATGCATATGTGTAAATGTGTAAGGGGTGGGAGCTGTGGCAAACTAGAGAGGATGTGCCTCTTCAGAAGGGGGCAGCTTCTGCTCAGCTCTGGCAGATTGTTGCTACGTAGATACATGAATCCAGGAACAGTGCCAAAAGGTAGGGTCTTGAGGCCTTTATTAGCTCTTTTAGCACCAACTCCCCCATCTCCAAGATGTCCCAAATTATAACATATATATGCATATACATATGTGTATGCATACATTATACATATATAAACATATTTCATATACACATGACATTCAGTCAACAATGAGCTGCATGTGTGACATGGTCCCTTAAGATTATATCATATTTTTACTGTATCTTTTCTATGCTTAGGTATGTTTAGATACACAAATACTTAATAATGTGTTACAGTTGCCTAGGGTATTCAGTACGGTAACATGCTGTACAGGTTTGTAGCCTCAGAGCAATAGGCTATACCATGTAGTCTAGGTGTGTAGTAGGCTATGCCATCTGAGTTTGTGTAAGTACATTCTATGATGTTCACGCAATGACAAATTTCTCAAAAATGTATCCCAGTCATTAAATGAAATGACATATTATGAAACCAATTTTACCGTAGGCTCATTGATATAAACAAGGCTTAAATTCCCTATGGCATATTTCTGATCAAAAAAAAAATCACCAAACTTCAAAATATAGACCCAAACACTTCAAATATTAAACATTGAAATAAATGTGAGCTATACATACATTCAAGGAAGATTAATAAAAACAAGTAAGAAAATTTTGTACCTGCTTATTCTCGTTCAGGGTTTTAGGTAGGCAGAGCCTATCCCAGCAGCTCAGGGTGCAACATAGGAACCAGCCTTGGACAGGATGCCATTCCATTGCAGGGTGCACTCACACACACACCACACTCCCTCAGACTGGGACCGTTTAGACATGACAGTTCTCCTAACATGCATGTCTTTGGGATATTGGAGGAAACGGGAGGCAGAGAAAACCCATGAAGACATGGGGAGAGAGTGCAAACTCCACACAGATATTGGTCCTGGTTAGGAATCAACGTTTAGTCTAGTACATACTAATGATGTTAAGGATCAAGCTGCATGAGTATCTATAAAGTTAATCACTAGTTAAATTTTCAAAAGCTTTGATTTCTTTTGTTTTTCTTCTTTTTTTTATAAGTGTATTATGGAAAAAAATTGCAGGTAATTAAGAGACGTTGTATGCAGTGCAGGGGAAAAATTTTGACTTTAAAGTCTGGCATCTTCGGTTGGAATACTAACTCTATCACTTACCAGCTGTAACCTTCAACAAGTGTTTCAGTTATCTGTATAAAAAACCTCCCCATGCCGGGCGTGGTGGCTCATGCCTGTAATCCTAGCACTTTGGGAGGCCGAGGTGGGCGGATTGCTCAAGGTCAGGAGTTCGAAACCAGCCTGAGCGAGACCCCGTCTCTACCAAAAATAGAAAGAAATTAATTGACCAACTAAAAAAAATATATATACAAAAAATTAGCCGGGCATGGTGGCGCATGCCTGTAGTCCCAGCTACTCGGGAGGCTGAGGCAGTAGGATGGCTGAGGCAGTAGGATCGCTGAGCCCCAGAGATTGAGGTTGCTGTGAGCCAGGCTGACGCCACGGCACTCACTCTAGCCTGGGCAACAAAGTGAGACTCTGTGTCAAAAAAAAAAAAAAAACCCCCCCAAAACTTAGTGCCTTAACACAGCAACGACATTTATTTTGTTCCTGTATCTGCAATGTTGGCATGGCTCAGTAGGCGTAGTTCATCTGTGTCCACTTTGTGGCAGGTGAACGGATTAGAAAGCTGGGGGCTGAAATCACCTGGAGTCTCAGTCACTCACATGTCTGACTCCTGGGCTGGAAGACTCAAGCTGGGGCTGCTCAGATATCTGTCTCTATTTCTATATAGTCTTTCCACGATCTCTCCAGCATGGTGGCATCAGGGCAACCAGGCTTCTTACATGTTGGCTTAGAGCCCCTCAGGCATGTGTCCTGAAAGAGGGACAGCTAGGTGGAATTCATGTTGCCTTTTTTAACTTAGCCTTGGGAATCATGCAACATCACTGCTGCCACATTCTGTTTGTTAGAAGATGAGTCACTAATGTTAGCCTATATTCAGGGGGAAAGAAATCCATCTTCAATGAGAGGATTGTCAAAGAATTTGTAGACATGTTTTAAAATCATCATAGCAAGTTAACCTTTCTAGACCTAAGATGATTTGGGGAATATTGCATTCTTTAAGAGTATTACTGTTCTCATTTGTAAAATGGGTATGATAATTCATTGGTTATGAAGAATAGATGAGAAAATATTATGGAAGTTCTTAGGATATTGCTTAGTATATAAATAAGTACTCAAAAATTGTTAATTCTTCCTCCCTTTTTTTCTTTCCTCTTCTAGCTTATGGAATTCCAGTTAACTATCATTTATTATCTTTCCATAATTAAAAAATATGAGGAAGGAATTTCTAATTTATTTTTTTTAAGTAACATATATAACAAAAAGGAAAATATAGTCCAGTGGCAACTAAGATTTTAAGACATATGCACATAGAAGGATACGTGAGTGATGTGATATGCTTGCCCCTTGGGTAGATGGAATGTGCTATGGATAGCTAGAGGCAGGTGACCTGTGTGGAGATCTTGGTGGGCGGGCTCCCAGTGAGGTACTCTTGTGACTTGTGTGCTTTTTCTCTTGCAGTTCCTGAGGGAAGACCTCAATTACCATGACCCAACAGTGAAACACAGCACCTTCCATGGTGAGGATAAGCTCATCAGCGTGGAGGACCTGTGGAAGGCGTGGAAGTCCTCAGAAGGTAATAGGCAGCCTGGTTGTCAATCCTAGTTGCTAGAAGGTTTGGAAAAGAGAAAAGATGGGCAGCAACTTGGCCTTAAAAGGACATGAATATAAAATGCTTTGTAAAGGGCAAGTTATTAAAATGATTCTATATACAGTCACTAAATAAGACTGAATATAGTCACTGTGCTGGGCATGAGGGAAGGCTTTCCAGAATTGGAGTCATTCTTCACTAGAATGCTTTTTGAATTCTGTCCTATCCCATCTATCTCTTCACCCCCTCACCCCTCACCTCCTGTACCCTCATAGAACTCTCCCAGCTTCTGCTGCTTCATCTCCAGAGATAGGGAGCTTGCTGTTCTCTCAGCAGCCCCTTTCTTCTCTAGCTTTCCATTTAGTCACAGGTCTGCTGAGTCCTAAATGATTCAAAGATTGGGTGGGAATGTAGATAGATTCTCTCCTGAGTCTTCCCTTTTCCAGGTTAAATAGCCCTAGTTCTTCAAAGCAGATCTATTTTTCAGCCTCCTTCTCATCTTTATTTCCTCCCTATAAACACTTTTGTTAATATTAATATCTTTCTTAGATCCTAGAGTTGGCTGCAGACTTCCAAGTATGGTTTTTATCCTCACGGAGTTGAGCAGTGTTGTCAGCTTTTTGGTTCTGAATGCTGTGCATCATCTACTAATGTAGTCTGATTAGATACTGGTGCCTCAGCAGTCACATTTACTCCACTGATCCATGTGGAACTTAATGAAAACTTTAGATCTGTGTAAAACTGCTAAACCATGATTACCATTTTTTTCTGGAGCATTTGCTTCAGAGTTCCAAATGAAAGAGCATGTCTAATTGTGTGAGACTTAATAGGGAAGGGAAAAATGGGGATTTAGCTGCTTCTCCATTTATATCTGTGGCTAGAGCTTCCTTTGATACCAAGATTGAAAGCAATCTCTTCCCAGGGTCTCTTAGGATAGGTTCTGATGCTAAGAGGGGTTAAACATAAGTGACTTCCAGGGCTTCTGGTTTTCAGATGAAGAAATTCAGGCCTAGATTTATTAAGTTACTTGTTCCTTGTCAAGCATTTAGTAGAGATAGGACTTAGGCCTGGGCCTTCTGCTCCCTAGGTCAGTGCTTTTCTATGCCATCTTGGTTGGAAGCACTGGTCTGGTGGTAGAGAAGACTAATTTTGGTAAGAATGAGGCATTTTCTAGATTCACTTAAATTTTTACCTGGAATTGTAGAATTTTAGATCTGAAAGGGATTGTTTATAATGTAGATGGAGAGCATTAGATTTGAAGCGGGAAGACCTGGATTCTAATCCTGGTTCTGGGATGGACAGGCTGATGCTGCTTGTTAACTGTATGTTTTATCATTGTAGAAGAAGTATTAGGCAGCTATAGGAGGAGAGCTTCCTGGAAATCTTTAGAAGCTTAGTTCTTTGTAGGGGCTTTACTAACTCCTGAGCAACTTGGACTGTCTACTGATGAAGATCAAACAGTAACATGAGCTTTGGAATTATATCAGCACTGCCAGGAAAAATCTTTCATTAGTACCATTTAGTTTTGGTTTTATTCTTTTCCTCTAATAACATGAGGGCAAGATGCCTGGTTTTTAAGAGTGGGTTTTAAAAGTAGGACCTTAGAATGAAAGATGGTGGGAAAGGCATTCTGGCCTTTTTTGAAAGCTCACATAGAAGTATCTGGGATGGGAAAGTGAGAGGACAGAAACAGAAGGACTAAATCATAATGCTAGAAAACAGCTCCAGGCAACTTTCTGGTAAGAACTTTATTTCTGGTTTCAACAACTATTTGGAATACTTCCAGTTTATTCTGAATTACAGGAAAATGGAAGACAATGGAGTGAGGGTTTTTTTTTTTTTGAGGGGGAGAAGGAGTCCCCATTATCCATTAGCAAAGAAAAACATTTCAGTGTACAGTGATGCAGTTCACAGCTAAGATATGATAAATGATACATATGTGACCATTTTAGGATTTGCTTACCTGGTGGTTTGACAGATTCAAGGAATCCTATTCCCTTCCAGTATTTTGCTTCATTTTTTAGAGAAAGGTCCCTAATCTCTCTGGAGTGATGATTTCCAGAGCTACAAAAAGCATGTACTATTCTGGCACTAGCTCAAACTGGCTAGTCTGAGTTTAGCTAGATGATGTAGATATCAGCAGTGGTCATTTGTATTCAGAACATTAGCTGGAAAATGTCAGTATCATCTGTGTGATTAGGGTTGTTAACATTTTCTGACTAATGTGGGGAGCCAGTGTTTTCTCTGTGTTATTTAGATCTTATAGGAAAGACTTCTAATCTCTATATTAGCCAGCTCTGAACTTTAGTAATAAAAACAGCATCAACAACAACCCAAAAACTACTTTCACTAATGTTTATATGGTGTTTAATATGTGCTAGGCACTGTCTTAAGAGTTTTACATGTATTAACTCATTTATTTCTCACAAAAACCTTATGAAGTATAGAGACCCTGGTTATCTCCATTTACAGATGAGGAAAATGAGGCAAAGACAGAGAGAGTAAGTGAAAGAATGTCATGCAAGTCTGTTACTCAGTACCCAGAGTTAACACAGACTATACAAGTTAGGGGCATAGTCCCCAATAAGACTGCCCTCACCCCCAGGTGTGGTGGCTCCCACCTGTAATTGTAGCACTCTGGGAGGCTGAGGCAGGAAGATTGCTTGAGCTTAGGAGTTTGAGATCAGCCTGAGCAGGAGTGAAACCCCATCTCTACTAAAAATAGAAAACTTAGCTGGGCATTGTGGTGTGGGCCTGTAGTCCCAGCTACTTGGGAAGCTGAGGCAGGAAGATTGCTTGGGCCCAGGAGTTGGAGATTGCAGTGAGCTATGATGACACCACTGTACTCTATCTAGGGCAACAGAGTGAGACTCTGTCTTAAAAAAAGTCAATCAGGTCATGTTGGTTGATGGAGTTCAAGTCTACTATATCTTTGTTGATCTTTCTACTTACTTGTTCTATCAATTATTAGAGAGGAGTATTTACATTTCCAACTATAACTGTGTATTTGCTCATTTCTCCTTGCAGTTTTTGCTTCATATATTTTGAAGCCCTGTTACTAGATGTATAAAGATTTAGGATTATTATATGTTCTTGATTAACTGATCCTTTCATCATTATTAAATGACCTTCTTTATCTTTGGTAATATTCTTTGCTCTGAAATCTACTTTGATAAAAATATAGCTTTCGTTTGACTATTGTTAGTTTGGTGTATCTTTTCCCATCTCTTTACTTTTAATCTATTTGTATTTTATATTTAAAATGAATTTTTTTTTTTTTTTTTTTTTTGAGACAGAGTCTCACTTTGTTGTCCAGGCTAGAGTGAGTGCCGTGGCGTCAGCCTAGCTCACAGCAACCTCAAACTCCTGGGCTCGAGTGATCCTTCTGCCTCAGCCTCCCGAGTAGCTGGGACTACAGGCATGCGCCACCATGCCCGGCTAATTTTTTTTTTATATATATATCAGTTGGCCAATTAATTTCTTTCTGTTTATAGTAGAGACGGGGTCTCGCTCTTGCTCAGGCTGGTTTTGAACTCCTGACCTTGAGCAATCCGCCCGCCTCGGCCTCCCAAGAGCTAGGATTGCAGGCGTGAGCCACAGCGCCCGGCCTAAAATGAATTTTTTATAGGCAGCATATAGATGGATCTGACAATCTCTGTTAATTGCATTGGTTAGACCATTTACATTTAATGGGATTATTAATAAGATTAGGTTTGAGTCCATTATCTTGCTTCTGTTTATCCCAACTGTTCTTTGTTCCATTTTTCCATCTTCTTTTGGATTGAATATTTTTTATGATTCAATATTATCTTCTTTGTTGGCTTATTAGCTATAACTTTGTTATTTTAGTGGTTGCTTTAGTAGATAAAATGTGCATCTTTAACTTATCACAGTCTATTTTCAAGAGGTACCATACCTTGTCACATATAAGAACCTTACAATAATGTATTTCCATTTCTGTCTCTTAACATTAGTTTCTACACCATGGCCTGGAAATTCTCTGAAGGCCACAAGTTGGGGCAATTGTATAACTTGCTTCATTTGTTTCTCATCTCAAGAATCACTGTTCTTTATAAGGCTGATGTCCTAAAAACCATTGTTTCATGTATGTTGTGTTTTTTGGGGGAGGGTGTGTTTATTTCAGGAGCAAAGGTAAATTCCATCTTTGGTACTTCCTCTTGGCCTGAAGCCAAAGTGTCAGCTTAATCATCTTTTGCTTGGACTATTGTGATTCATAGCGTACTTCTTGGCCTAGCTTAGCTCTACTGCGGTCTGTCCTTCAGTTTTTCCTGATCTAACTAGTTCTCTGCTTATATTTTTCATTGTTTTTCCATGTTTTTTTTGATATATGAAACAAACATGACACCAAATTTCTGGGTTGAAGAAATATTCTTAAATAGAACCTGGAGAAATAAAGATACTCCTAAAAATGTTATAAATAAATTCCTATAGCTGTCGTGATGGCTCATGCCTGTAATCTCAGCAACTTGGGAGGCCAAGGTGGGAGGCTTGTTTGAGGCCAGGAGTTAGAGACCAGCCTGGACAACATAGTGAGATCTTGTTTCTAAAAAAATGCAAAAAATTAGCTGGGTATGTGAGACATACCTGTAGTCTCAGCTACTCAGGAGGCTGAGGAGGGAGGATTCCTTGAGCCTAGGAGTTCAAGGCTGCAGTGAGCTATGATCACATTGCCTTCCAGCCTAGGTGATAGTAAGACTGTCTCTATGTAAAATAAAATAAATTCTCATATAATTGTATATAGTAATAATCTGTTATTTTGAAAGAATAAATATTGGCTTTCCTATTGGTCAGGTAATACTTGAGTTTGTGTGGAAATAGCAATAAGCTTAGATCACAACTGCTGTCTCATTTGAGACTCAACAAAATTTGGTACTGAAAGCTTAGTAGTTGTTGATGAAAGAAATTATTATAGAAAATGTCAATGATTTTTTTCATGTTTATCTATGAGATGTTTGTCAGATCCA